TACAATGTAGAAATAAATTTGAAGTACTTGGCTTTTGCTCCCAAATTGTTAGAAATGCATAAACTAAAATTCGCAACATGTAAAGCATAAAAAACTGTTGAAAAGCCCAAACTCTAACATAGTCTTGTCTGTATTGTGTGGTCAATTATGTATTTAATTGGCCAACTTCAGAAGCAAGCAAAGCTGAACGTACCTGCCCCTACTGTTTCAATGGAGGTTCGGGCTGAGAAAGCCCTTGAAGCTATTTATGTTTTCTGCTTCGGCAAAGATCCTATTGAAGAAGAAGATGAGAGATTATTATGTATCATGCTTAATGTCGTTTTTCCCTCCGTTGGGCAACAAGAGATGACAAGAATTGTAAAAGAAGAGGCAAGAAAAGTTGCAGAAGGCAGTGAAGAAGACCAAGTTCCAGAGCCAAAGCCCTTATCTAAAGAAGCTGTACAGCTGCAAATGAAGGACCAATTTGAAAGGCGGTTACAAATGGGACCACGGCGGCAGAGGCGGCCGCCGGAATCAGACTCGCCAACCACCACCCCTTTGCTTGATATCATCATATAATATGACATAAGTTCCAAAAATGGTGTTCTCTTTGAAAACATTAGCCGCCTCTTGATCACTGCCAAGCGCACCGCCGTTGCACTCCTCCGCCTTACTCCGTTGTATCGTTCTTCACCACCACTTTCTCTCTTCAAATTCTCACACTGACTTTCTCTCCTCCGATACTCGACCTCGACTCCATGATCGATCTGATTCTTCAAACTGTTCTCAACATACTCTTCGCAGAAATCGAAACTCTTCGCAGGGTGAGAAACAAGAGAGGTCTGAGAATCGAAAAGTTGAGAGAGAGAGAGAGAGAGATGAGTTTTGATTTGTTAATGTCAAATTTCTCTGTCATATGTTTAGGGACCTTAGACATCAAAAAATAATTTTGTGAATCTCTTCCATTACGAAAAGTGGGAGAGACCCTAGACTAATTTTCTCAAGAATTATACAAAAAAGTCCAATATCTTTTTTCCTCTATATTTTTTTTTTAAATATACTAATTTTTTTCACTTTATATTTTAGTCAAAAATTACTAAAATAGTCTATCTCCAAACAAAATTTTAGTCATGTTTCTTTTTTTTCTTAATTATTATTCGTAGATAAAATCACACTTGACTTGTTTGGCTTGCGGTCAGTTCTGTTCTTCTTCTTCATATCGATATAGACAAGCTGCAAAGTTATGGTTGGGTTTCTCCTCCCCAAAATTTTTCATTATATTATTATTATTTTGATTGAATTGTCGTTAAAGTCCTCGAGGATGACCTGAAAGTTTTCCTGCAATAAACACGATATTGGATGAAAAATATTATGAACATTAAATAATCTATTAAATTTTTGTCAAATTTCAATAATCCATTAAATTTTTACAAAATTTTTTACATGAGAATCACACAAATTTACATGTGTGTAGATTTCACACCATGTGAGAGGTGGTAAAAAATTTAGTAGATTATTTGAGATTTCTAATATAACTCATATTGGATTAGATTTCTGTCAAATTTAAAATTTTGACATTTATGTTCAGATTATTAGGTTTCATTTAATCTGTATTTATTTCGACAACTATCCCTTTATATTATTCATTAAAAAAAATAGATTAATTTAATAATTATAATTTTTTTTATTACGTATGCCTTTAAAAAACAAAAACAAAAAAAAAAAAATGTGTTTTTTAAAAATAGATTGTCTATTTTGTTATAATAAAAAAAAGAAGAAGTCATAAATGTCACTCTCCTGGATCATTATTATCGTGAATTTTCTACGTAAATTATACAAGTAATTCGTTTGGGATGTGAGTTAATTTTTTAATTTTTAAAATTTTTAATTATTTTAATTTGGAGTTAGAAAGTCTCTTTTGAGATGAATTTTTTGATTTTTTTGACTTGTATAAGAAAAAAATAAAATGATTATGATTTACATGTGATATTTTGTTTTATTAAATTAAAAAATCTATTTTAATTTTTTATTCACTATTTTAGGGCGGTTTTAAAAAATGAGTGAAAAGACACTTCTTAACTTTTAACTTACTTTTCTTTCTCACAAAAAATTAAATTAAATTAAAAAAATAATTTTTTACTCACCCTTCCAAAACACTGAGTCAAAAAGTCCAGTCTTTTTCTCAGAAAAAATGCTTTATACCACTAATTTAGCATCACTAATGCATCACTAATGATGTGATATCATGTGAACCCACCACTGATGTGATAATTTGACCTTTATTTTGTTTTATTTTTTTTTCTTTACATTACCCCATCATTAAAGATATTTTTAAAATTTCAAATTTAGTTCTACGTCACCGATATTTTCTCAAGAAGATGATTTTTTCTTTGCAACGACTGTATGACTCATTCTTACATCATTTTCTAAATTGAATTGTCCAGACACGTGTCCCAAAACATGGACTTTTATCCTATCCTCATTTCGTCACTGCTCGCGCATTCATACGATGGAATTGGGATTCTCCCCTTCATTTCGGTCCTTCATTCGCTTCTTGCAGGTATTCGGGGCCACTTTAAGGCTCAATTTTGATAATCTGAACCGTCATATTTTTAGATTTATTCAGTATATCATACCTGTAAAATATCAAGTTGATCGAATATCATAAAGTATGTGTTCGGAAAACTGTTTATTAAAAAATAGTTTGTAGTCCCAATTTTCTGAACGCATACTTTCTAATATCCGATCAACTTGATTTTTTACCGATATAATATACTAAATAAATCTAAAAATATGAACAGTTTGGATTATTAAAACTGGGCCTCAAAGTGGACCCGAAGGCGCCTGCAAGGAGGGAATGAAGGAGGGGGCTCAAGGAGGGGATCTGGACTCCATACGATGAGGGCTCACTTCCATCTATAAAGTGCTAGGATTTGTACTGTAAATAATCACACCCTCCTCCATCGAACCTCATACTCGAAAATCACTCTTCTTCATCAACAACAATCAATGGCTACTCCGTAAGCTCTTCTTTGCACTTTGTTTTCTACATTTCTACACACACACAAATATATATATATATATATATATATGAATGTTCATGATATATGTATGACTGTGTGATCTTGTTCTGTGATCACCAAATAGTTAATAGTGTTGTGTGTTGTGTTATAGAAAACGCTAATACCTGGTGAATTACGGTTTAGAATTCCGAAAAATAATACTTTTATTCTAAAACAATAAATTTAGGGATTTTTTTCAAAGGAAAAATGCTTGAGGCCTCGAATTTTTAAGGCTCGAATGTCTCGAAATTTTTATTTATTTATTTTTTTTTGAAAGGGTGGTTATATGATTTGATTAGATTGTTTTCTTTCAAAATTTTCAGTTGCGAGAAAACGGTTCTTCCACCAGCTTTGGATTCTACTTCCGAACCACCTCCCATCTTCGATGGAACTATCAGGTATAATTGCTCCTCTCTCTAATCTTTCTATATATATAATTTTGTGCATATATATAATACACTAGTTGTTGCTAAATTTATCGACACACGATGTGTGTGCTATAAAATCAACAACCGTAGCAATTGAGAGGTTTTTTTAGGGGGGGGAAAAATACTGAAGCAATTTTGTACGGCATAATTGCTCGTGTGGGCATTTTCTTAGAATAAAAAAGGGGGATACAAAACTTCATTAACTTAGTTGTAGGCTTCATATAATGTATAGATATATGATTGTGTGTATCAAATTCACAGATTAACGGTGTGTTGGGTGTTTTGTAAGAATTTTTTTTCCTCCAAATTTAGATTCAAATTTGTTGGTGTGAGCATATAGTAATTCAAATTGCATTTTTTCTTGAAGGTTGTATATCTCTTACACGTGCCCATTTGCGCAGCGTGCTTGGATTGCCAGGAACCATAAGGTCTGTCTTCTTTTTTTTTTTCTTCTCTTCACCCCATCTTTTAGTTCATCTCCTCCCTCTCCCCTGGTCATTAAGTTTTGTCATACAACATCTATTGTAGTTTGCTGGGTAAAGTTATTATACAAACATAATTTTTTTTATGATGCAGTATTTTTTAATCCTTTCATTTCATGCTAAAACACCCATCTCACAATTGCAAAAATGTCATTGTCACATTATTTTGAATGAGTTTTATCTATTGAAAGTTTTGTTTGTGAATCATTTTTCCAAATTGTTTACATGGTGCAACAGTAAAGACACCATGTTATGCATTTGTAGCTGTCTATATACATAGGGTCCGGATGAATTTACATTTTCAGCTTACACATGTTAATAGCCTTTTATATAAATCATCTTTTTCCAAACCTACCATTGGAATTTATGCCCTTTTCCTGATTGTCAAATGTGCACAATGTCTAGTTGATTGAATATGCCTGCTCAATCAACAAATTTGCTGTATTAAACTAAAACTTGGAGCTTGATTTTTGGCATACATGATAAGTAAGGCAGGGATGTTGAGTCCAACAGTGGACTTTACAAAAGATCAATACTGTAACGAGTTTTTGATTTTGCAATTTTATATGCATTGTGATTTTATTCCTCCAGTTCTTGTGGTTTATTTTTCATGAAATTTGAGATGCAGGGTCTACAAGACAAGATCAAATTGGTTGCTATTAACCTTCTAAACAGGCCCGCTTGGTACAAAGAGAAAGTTTACCCAGAAAATAAGGTAATATTCTCTGTAGACAATATACTCCTGCCTATCATTTTTGGTTACCTTAATTTAGTATTTGGTGCATTTTTCCCCCCTTTCCATCAATACCTCATATTTGTTGATCAAACTGATTGACTAAAAACACAAATCATTTTCTGTGGCCCCATAAATATTTTTTGGGTAAATTACCAATAGATCCTAATAGTTGGATTTAATTTCCATTAAGTCTTAGTTCTAGTAAAATGTCGCTAAAAATAATTTTTTGTAATAATTTTTTGCATATTACGCTAAAAATTAAAAATTAGTGACTTTTTTTGTCACGATTTTTATAAATTGTTGCTAAAACTGACAATTAGTGACTTTTTTTTGGACAAATTTTTAAAACTGTAGCGGAAAGCTGAAAATTAGTGACTTTTTTTTTTGACGATTTTTTTAAATTGTCACTGAAACTTATAATTAGCGACTTTTTTGTGACAAAATTTTCAAACTGTCGCTAAAAATTAACAATTAGTTGTTGTTTTTAATAATGTTTGATGAAAAACGCTGTTAATTATCACAGAACCGATTGGACAATAAGTCTATTTATTAGGATATACATGTAAGTCCCTCAATATTTTTTTAACTTAGCTAATAATGCGAGGATAAAGATCTCCTGCTTTGAACGCTAATCATTTTCCTCATTTATTTTATTTTATTTTATTTTTTGTGGTACTCTACTTTTATCTGCAACAATGCTAAGTTTTTGTGGATTTTATACCACTACACATCATAGGAGATATTCCATTTTGTCTGATGAAATTATTTGTGTTTATCTTTAATACAATAATGAAAGGGACTAAAATCATTCTTCAGAGCCACTGCCTATCAGCATTACTTACTTGAGAAATCGCCCGTCTTTTTTTTTTCTTATGCATTTTTTCATTTTCTTCTTAGGTGCCATCACTGGAGCACAACAACAAAGTCATTGGAGAGAGTCTAGATTTACTTAAATACATTGACAGTAACTTTGAAGGGCCCTCACTTTTACCTAATGTAAGATGTGAAGATGTTTTTGTACCCCCTCCTCCTTCCCTCCCTCTCCCTCTCCCTCCCTCTCAATGTTTTCAAACTTTGACGAGTAATGATGTGAAAATATCATAGGATCCTGCCAAGCGTCAGTTTGCTGAAGAGATGTTATCCTACTCTGACACAGTCAACAAAACAGTGTTTACTTCTTTCAAAGGAGATCCGGCAAAAGAAACTGGTGAGATTCTAAACTCACCATGTATGGGGGGATTTATTATGTAATACGTATAGGATGGTTACTTTTGTTGAAACCTTACTGACTTCTGTAATTTCTGCATCAGGTGGTGTTTTGATTACTTAGAACCGCTCTTCACAAATTTGATGACGGGCCTTTCTTCCTTGGGCCAATTAAGTATGGTATGTCTCATCCATGTCCTGTTGGTTTTCCTTAATGCTGCTTTGTATGGAACTTGGTGAATTCTCATCTAGCATTGATTTTAACTTGTTTCAACAAACATGTGTTTAATTTGATTTTCTTTGGTTTGCGGCCGAAATTTGTGGTCAACAGGTGGACATGGCCTATGTTCCATTCATTGAACAGTTTCAACTCTTTATACAAGAGGTGTGGAAGTATGACATCATGGCAGGACGACCTAAACTAGAGGCATGGTTTGAAGTGAGTTAATGAACTATATTCATTCTTGAAGGCAAATATGAAATCTTGTCACTAGAAAAATATGCTGCATAGTATTTTAATGTTCGTCTCCATCCAGTTAGTTCATAAATGTCTAGGCCTTTGAATAATGCAATGTGTAAGTTTCCCAAAACCAGGGCAGGCAGGCACTATCCGCAATGGTTGGTGATCGGTAAATAAATTTTAGTCTTGTGGTTATAGGTTTCGACTTTCAATGCTGCTGGCCTTTCAAAGGGGCTTTTCCACAAGTGTGTCGTATATTTTAAGAAATGAAGCATGGTTATGATGTAGTTCCCATTGTTGAAGGTGGGTTAGAGTTATTTAAATATGGGTTTGTGATAGGGATGTAAAAGATGGAAGTGTTGTTGCCGTAGTTGTTTTGATTGCTTCCCCAACTGTTTGGAGTTAGCTAATTCAGCATTTAACTGTGGAATCCGCAAAAAATCATTTCCTCCACCATGCCTTGTAGGAGCATCTCTCTCTATGTTTATGATCTCTCTCTCTCTCTTGCATGGATGCACAAAAAAAGTAATTGTGTTGTGTCGGTGCATCTCTCTCAATGTGTTACATGTGTATGATCTCTCCATTGCATGCATGCACGTGTTTTGCACTACCTTCTTGGTGAAGATTATTGTCCGAGTTCAAATTTTCTTAGCAACAAATTCTTTTCCTGCCTCTCTCTCTCTCTCTCTCTCTCTCTCTCACACACACACACACACACACAAATGGTGATTTGTGCTACTGCATTTTTTAGATGAAAGACTAATTTTCTGACTTCAATGCTTCTGAGCATACTGTTAGCAAAGAGATCTTTTGCATTCTTGTGAGTTGTGAGTGACTCCAGCTTTTGAGTGATTGGGCACTGTATCTAAAATTTTTAATGGTGCGTTTGTCTTGATCAAGAGCAGTGGCAGATCTAAGTTAGGCCTCGGAGGGGCACTCCTAAAATTTGGAAAATTATAGACCCTCCTCTGTCTTTTTTGTTTTTTTCAACTAACCCCTTTATTTCTCCCTTAAATATTTATATTGCTTTGAAGACTGCCTTTTTATATACATATATGGACGACAAAGTGTCCTAGTTCTCTCTAACTTAATAATTGCTTACATTTTTGTGTTTATTATTAGCTTAAATAGTATTATATCATTTTATCATTGTTGATTACGAAAAAAAAATTCTAATGTTATGATTAAATGATTGCCCCCTTGACTGAATTTTCTGATTCCACCACTGATCAATAAAGAGGACAGGAGATGTGATTTCCTATTACATAAAAGTTTCTTATATCTTGAATAACAAATCTCTTATTGATGGATCCATTTGTAGGAGATGAACAAGGTCGATGCTTACAAGCAATCAAAATACGACCCGAAAGAAAATATGAAAATATGGAAGAAACACTTTCTGGTACTCATGCATTGGCACTTGGATTTTTCTTTGCTAGTGAGAGATTAAACAGAATTGTTGCTAACACTTCAATATATGTATATGTTCACTTGCAGGTTCAGGAGTGAATATGGAAGCAGAGATTTCGAACTATGAATTAAATAAGTGGCTTGATGGCTATTATCAATGTCTCCAGTGTAAAACTCAGCTGTACACTGACGGGTATGTGGACTCGTTTATGTCTAGGTGTTGCAAAAGGTTGTGGTCGGCATGTTTGTGAAGCTTAATAAGTTTGTATACTGTAATGTGTTTGTGAGTCTTGTTATGTTTTTGTTTTTGGTTTGCTTTTTGTTACACCAGAATTCAGACTAAATGCTAGTTTTGTAATGTGATCATTGAATAATAAAGGTTCTGATCTTTTTATGTGGCTACTCGTGAGTCTTGTTTTCCCTTGTACAATGTATTTGTTGAATATTTTTTCTTCTCCCACTTTGATAATTTTTTTATAACAATAATATGTGTGGGAGGTAAAATCCAAAATACGAGACACGTGAATTGAGAGCTAAGCCAGATTGACCAAGCTAGAATCGGAACAAGACCACTTGGTCAAGCTAGGATACCTCGGGTAGACAAATAGGACCCTAAGTTAGTTTGGTTATCAAGCTAGGTATGGGTTCGGATTGACAGCTTGAATAGTTGGACCAGGTCAGGTCAGCTTGCGTTCCACTCAACGTGGATTTGCCCACTCTTAGAAATCCGTGAATATGAGACAAGATTCCATACAAAGCGGAACGAGGAGTGGCAGGAATTTCTCAATTGTCTAAAATGGTTAGAAAGAGGGTCTAATATAAGCAAGCAAAGCCAAGCCAACAAGGTACATAACAACTCCCACTAGAGCTTACATACTTTTTGTTGCTTATTTTATTATTGACTTAGGCATGGAAGAGTTTCCTGGCTGACCATTAGCTAGAGTTTTCTTTTGAGTGTGTTTCAGGCTATCCAACCATCATGTTTTATGTAATTTGATGTCATTTCAAGATGTAGCAAGTTCTTCTCCATAAAACATGTTATATTTAATTTTTAGGAAAAATTACAGATACAATTTTAAAATTTGTATAAAATATAAATTACTTCTTATATTTCTAGACTAGGACTTTTAACTAGTGATTTTGAATTATTAACTTTTAATTTATAATTAGCTTTTTCTCCAATTTTTATTTTTATTTTTTATATTTTTTTTATTATTGGCTGGACTAAACCATATAGGTTCACATATGAGAAATTATTTCATGGTCATCATGTGGCCATGTCCTTTTGCCTATCGCAAACTACTATGCTTTTCTGCTCTCTAAATACAACATGTGACCGTACTCTAAAATCACCAAATAACTTTTCGACGGGTGATTATATTGCACCCAAATAATAATTAAGTACGCCTAATTAAAATTTTGAAATTTTAGTTCTTATTATACCCTAATATAAATTTATTAATAAGGACAATACATGCTAAGGCCTCGTTTGGTAAGTGTTTGTTTTAGCTTAAAAGTTAAAAAATTATTAAAAAAACAAAAAAGCCTATAATCTATACCAAAAAGTTAAAGATTTCATTTTCTCTCTATTTTTTGTTAATCTTTTCATAAAAAATTAAAAAGTCATTCCAAACATACTAAAAATTACTTTTTGATTAATCTAAATAACCATTATAGTTGACGAAACAGAACCAAACAAAAAAACAAAGTACACCCAGTTTAATCCCCCTTAGATGGGGGTCTAGGAGGGATAAATTGAGTACAAACCTAACTCTTTGCATTATTATATATAAAGTGGTTACCCTCATGTTTAAACCCACAACATAAAAAAAAACAAAAAAGCCTATAATCTATATCAAAAAGTTAAAGATTTTATTTTCTCTCTATTTTTTGCACATCTTTTCATAAAAAATTAAAAAATCATTCCAAACATACTAAAAATTACTTTTTGATTAATCTAAATAACCATTCTAGTTGACTTAACAGAACCAAACAAAAAAACAAAGTACACCCAGTTTAATCCCCCTTAGATGGGGGTCTAGGAGGGATAAATTGAGTACAAACCTAACTCTTTGCATTATTATATATAAAGTGGTTACCCTCATGTTTAAACCCACAACATAAGAACTTGAAACCTTCCTCCAGCCATTCCTTTCAAACACAAATTGAGCACTTTTGAGGTAAAACAGACATAATATACCATATCTGAACAGTGGTACACAGATCTCAACTTGTACATAAACCAAACAATTTGCATCAATTCACAGTTTTCTGCTCTCAAGGCAAAGTAAGGCCTGATCCTTTGGTCTCATAAAATTGGATGCTTCGGATAATTGATCAAGACCTAAGTCATCACTGCCAATCAATAAACAGCTATCATAGTTTGCAATTTCTTGTAATAGGTTGCTTTGAGTAGTAATAGAACACATCTAAGTATTTAAGATCTGCTTGTCCTTCCGTGATTAAGCTCTCAAAGCAATTGTAATAGTTAAGTACACTTAGAAGCAGTATACCAAGTTGAAATCACTATGCCATCTCATGAAGTAAAACTATACAAGGAAGTCCAGAAACAAATATAAAGAACAAGTTTCAAAGTTCTGGGTAGAGTTAGGCAGAGTTAATTTGATGTTTCAGTAACTGAGAAACAAAATAACATAAGAAAATTTGAAGCACCTAAAAAATGATCCAAGACCAAATGCTATCACAATCACTACTCTTTACCTCCTTAAACTAATTGCTACCAATTCAAGCAGTTTAATATGACTTTAACGTCATGAACTACATTACAAAATTATAATTCAATATGACAACTTTCTGAACTAAACTACATTCATTTTACCACCAAAATAATTCAGTTTGTAGACCGTGTGTTCTAGACATTTTTTAATGTGAAATATTTAATTCAAAATGCATTAGTATTGTTTTACAATATTATATTGTAAAACTAATAAACAAAATTTAAAGTAGTTCTATTGGTTGCAACAACTCCCAAGTTATGCACTTTGGCATTAATCTTCCCCATTTGACAAAGGCACCATTATAGTTTTTTTTTATGTAACTACTTTACATATTCTCCATTTTCAATTTCCTTATATTTTATCCACTTCAAATGTCATACCCCTCACAAGGAACATACACCAAGAAAAAACATTCATTCTGTGGGGATATATTTTCTGAGTACCAACACGTGGCAAGGTGACGCCGACGTGTCAGCCGAGGTGCCACGTGTCTTGGTCGTTGTGCCGAGGTCATCTCGGCTAGGCCGAGGTTACCTCCGAAGATATCGGAATCCGAGATAAGCAGATAAGGGATAAGAGTCCTAGAATGAAGAGGGAACTCAACCTGGATATGGACAAGAGTCCTAGATTGGGAGAAGACTCTAGTTTGGGTAAAGATAAGACTCTTAGAGAGTTTTGTCCTAACTCCACTGGGAGTCCCAGATAAGCAGTAATCCTGAGTCCATAGAAGTCAAGCTTCTATTGGGACTAGGATTGAGTTGGCTATAAATAAGAGGCACCCCCATAGGTCTAAGGTATGCTTTTGATACTCAAGCTTGTGAGTTTAGTACTTGATTTATCTTTGAGAGATATACTGACTTGATCGTCGGAGTGCCCCCGGGTGGTCGAAACCACCGCGGGATTCTTATATTTCTGTTGCAGGTTAGTCAGGTGCCATCTATTCTGCCAGTGCTCTCCAGCTGATTACGAAGCGGGCAGTGTGGTCGGAAAATCACCCACACAATTTGGCGCCGTCTGTGGGAAAGAAGGAAGAATAGATGGCCAATGACGGACAGAAGGATCAGACTGGAGACAACGCTCCTGCTGGGAATAGGAGATCTATCAACCTCGACGTTGAAGGAGACAATAGCAACACAGAAAACTCGTGACCAGAGTCGCGAAGTGAAAGAAGCCGGCCAGGTAGGTGACGCACCAAAGACAACAGATTAAAGCAACGAAGATGACCTCCAGGTATGGAAGGATAGATACCTGCGGAAGAACGAAGACCCTTCCAGAAGGGATGCAAAGACAGGGGGCATGAGCGCTCCCAAGGAGATAACATTCAAGTATAGAAGAACTCATCCTGAGTGAGCAGATCCCGGATTCCAGATCCTGGATCCCGGATCCGAGAAGACATGATCTCAGCCTAAACAAGTAGGCCCGAGAAGACGAGAGCTCAACCTAAGTGGGCAAATCCAAGATTCTAGAAGATAAGATCTCGGCACCCGAGTCCGAGAAGAGAAGAGTACAATGAGCAGATCTCAGATCCCAGAAGATAAAAAGGAAACACAGAAGATCAGACTAAAGTTGGCCGGGTTGAAAACTCCGGCTTGAATCCAAGAAAATGCTTAACCGTAGTTAAGATCAAGAAGATGCTTAACCATAGTTAAGCTAAGAAGATGCTTAACCGTAGTTAAGCCGAGAAGATTCTTAACCCGAAGTTAAGACCAAGAAGATGCTTAACCGTAGTTAAGCCAAGAAGATTTTTAACCGTAGTTAAGCCGAGAAGATTCTTAACTATAGTTAAGCCAAGAAGATGCTTAACCGTAGTTAAGCCGAGAAGATTCTTAACCGTAGTTAAGCCAAGAAGATGCTTAACCGTAGTTAAGCCAAGAAGATTCTTAACCCGAAGTTAAGACCAAGAAGATGCTTAACCATAGTTACGACCAAGAAGATGCTTAACCGTAGTTAAGCCAAGAAGATTCTTAACCCGAAGTTAAGACCAAGAAGATGCTTAACCCGAAGTTAAGACCAAGAAGATGCTTAACCGTAGTTAAGCCAAGAAGATTCTTAAACCTGAAGTTAAGACCAAGAAGATACTTAACCATAGTTAGGATCCAGAAGATGCTTAACCGAAGTTAAGACCAAGAAGATGCTTAACCGTAGTTAAGCCAAGAAGATTCTTAACCCGAAGTTAAGACCAAGAAGATGCTTAACCGTAGTTAAGCCAAGAAGATTTTTAACCGTAGTTAAGCACAGAAGATGCTTAACCGTAGTTAAGCCAAGAAGATGCTTAACCGTAGTTAAGCCAAGAAAATTCTTAACCCGAAGTTAAGACCAAGAAGATGCTTAACCGTAGTTAAGACCGAGAAGATTCTTAACCGTAGTTAAGCCAAGAAGATGCTTAACCGTAGATAAGCCAAGAAGATTCTTAACCGAAGTTAAGACCAAAGATTCCTTAACACTTGTTGAAATTTGTAGCAATTTACAAGATAATGTTAAGCCGACATGTGATCATCTGTTGAAATTTGCAGCAATTTACAGGTTGAGGAAAGAGCTAAGTATATTTACACACTTGTTGAAATTTGTAGCAATTTACAAGTAGATCATTGTTATAACTTGAGAAAAATTTACAGTATATGTTAACACTTGTTGAAATTTACAGCAATTTACAAGTAGATTAGA